GAGGGGGCAGGATAGCATGAAAATAACTGTCGAAAATCATGCTGCCCTTTCTGGGAGAGAGGCCAGTTCTGTTGGCAGTGATTTTGGTTTCCCAGATAGAAAAATTAACAGCATTGAATGTTCAGGTTTTATAGTTGACTAAAAGGTTGAAGACAGTTGAGAGGTGTCTGCATGCTACAAGGGGAGAAGAAAAATCATGTGGATTGAAACTTGCTAGCTGTTAGCATAAGCTATTGGAGATAGAAAATCAATAGAAAGATGAAGAAATTGATACTTTGAAAGCTGAATGTTGTGACTGCTGTTTGATTGGGTCTTATGATATTTCAGAAACTCTTCTGTTATTTTAATGCAAATTTTGAAGCAAAAAAAGATCACTTAGATTACCACTTCCGGTTTTAAAAAGTAACTTAAGATTTTGTATTTGAAACCCCATTATTTTTATTATGAAAGTTTCTGTTACATATTACTTTATTTTGTTATTTTCAGCTTTCTAGACTAAAACGAGAATTGGCACAGATGAAGCAGGAGCTGCAATATAAGGAAAAAGGAGTGGAAACTCTGCAAGAGTAAGTTAAGAGTTTGTGGGAGGGTATTTTTTTTCTTTATTCGGCTTGGAATGAATTTCTTAGAAAACCGTCGCCAAACAAAAAAGGTTGAAACCTCTTAATTGCTTTGCTTCAGAGTTTCTGCTATGAGTGTGATGTGGGGCGGGAACTGTGAGAAATGATGGAAGAAGTGTTGGACAGAATTGATTGGAATGGTGATTTCATAGATGCACATGCAGAAACAGTTTTATAGGCCCTGTTCATTAACTGTTCTTAAAAACATTGTTGAGGTGGAACTAGACTTGTAAAATATTTTCCAAACGTTTTCTGTAGATACCTACCACCTGCAGCACAGCCAGAAACACCATGCAGTGGAGTAGTTGTCCTGTGAACAGTACCGAGGCTTTCTGGCTGGGCACAGGACTTCTCCTGGGGGGGAGGCTGTGCACCACAGCACTGCTGCTTCCTTTTACCTGATGGCCAGGCCGCCTCATTCTGCGCAGTATAGCTCGTTTGCATGCGCACTGCAAATCTGATGGTCTGTGAGACCGTCAGATTTACATGTTGCATGTGTGCAGAATGAGTGCATGTAAATGTGACTCTCTCTCCTCCCTGTGAGGAAAGGTAGCTCGGGGCAATTTGCCACTGCTCCCAGGGCTATTAGGCACCCTGTGCTGATTTCCTTTGTGCTCAGTGGTGGCAAAGGTTGTGAAATGTTGTGGTGACCCTCTCCCTGCTACTCTTCCTGCAGGCCAACAGATGGGAACTGGTGACTTCCATCTGTGGGCTGCTTAGTCACCTACACACGTAGCACATATGTGGGATGCTCAGTGGAATAGGGAGAGAGGTTGCCATGCCATGGAAAAGATGGCAGGTAAACACAGGTTGTTGCGACTTCCAGATCTGTTCAACAAGGCCGGAGGCTAGACTCTATGTTGAACAGCTCTTGGACTTGCCTTGGACCTGTGGCCATGCATTTAGAGATCTTGGCCATTTTTCCAGCATGCATGTGGACGAACTGCCTAACGCTTCCTGAAAACGTTGGAACTGTTGCATGTCTAATGCGTTTTGCAGCATAAGTATATTTGTGGAAATATTTTGAAGCTTTGGATTTATTGCGTTGGTGCTACAAAGCATGGGCGTGCACTTTCGCTTCAGGAATCCTGGCAAAGTTCCAGGGATCCCAGAGTGATTAAGTTACTTATTTTCCAGCTTTGATTTAGATTGGTACTATGTTAACAAAATGATATGAAGGGAGATAGATTTTACTTTTAAAGGAGAGGGAGTAGCCCATGCACCTTTTTTTTTTAAGCTTACAAGGTACAAGCATTTTAAAAGCTTCAGAGAAGAAAACTTGTTCAACCAAAATCCTTCATTGGCAGATATAATGTAATCATTTTCAGGCATAAATATATTGTTATTGACTACATGAAGCATTTACAGGTAGTTAGGGGAATTGTGATGTATGATATTAACTGAAAATTAGTAAAATGTAGCACTCAGTATATTGAAACAGCAAATATTTTAAGTATGGCCAATGTTTTCAGATGGTGGCCTAGATACGTAAGCAATTTTGTCTTAAGATTCTTAATCATATTTTCTTCACGTAAGAATTGCCTTGCCTTTTCCACTTTCTTTATTTGTTTTCCTTCTCCTGGTTATTGGGTTATTTTAAGGGTATAGGTTCAATTGTTCTACAAAAGGACTAACCACTTGACTTAGGATGATGAAAGTATTTGAAGGCCATTTGAAACTCAAGATTGTTTTAATTAATATAATTCATTTAAGATAGTCCAGCAAAGTACGGCAACTTTGTGAAAAGTAAAGTCTGTGAATGATTAAGAATACAAATGTTAGTCTTGGCTTTTAGCCCAAGTGAAGTTGCCCATGCTCCAGGATGGGGGTATAGGAGAGACATTCAAGAGAGGAATTATTTTAAAGCATATCTGATTAGTCAGTGGTCACTCTAATCATCTAGTTTAAAAGTTCAAGCATGACAACTCAGTGCTTCGGTGCTGCTCATTGCTGCTGTTGCCTCAATGACTCTCTGTCCTGGTGGTGCACTGGGTGGCATTTGTTGTTGCCTGCTGAAGCTGGGGAGAACGTTTTGCCCATGTGTTATCCGGGATTGCATGGAATTTCCGTCAGTGTTTGTGCCTTGCTCTGCTCCCTGCAGTGACTTCTTCGCTTGTGAACCAGAGGCTTGTGGGTTTGGTTTTATTTTTAAGTAATTTTTTAAACGACCTTTCTGGTAAGATATGTGCTTTCTTTTGAGTATTTTGCTTCTAGTATGAAGTGAGCGAATTTGGAGAGTACTTGCACTGTTTAACAACTGAAAAGACAAGTTTCTCTAGCCTCCTCGTGCAGTCAGCAAACAAATGAGGCTAAAAGCCTAACTGGCTCTAGGTTGTCCCTGAGCAATCTCTCCCCTACTCCTTGTATTTGTCAGGAGAAAAGGGCCATTCAAGTCAAGTACCAAAGCTGAAGTATTTTACTTCTTGCGTATCTACAAAGTAAGTGTACTGTCTGAAAAGACACTTATTGCTCCTTCTTTAAAATAAAAATTCTGAGATTCCTCCTTTCCCCTCCACCCCACCCCCCTTTTTTTTTTGTTACAGTTTCTTATGTCTCAGACATTTCCCCTTTTTGTTACCTTTCCTAAATTTTTGGTCTGCATAATTTTTTTCCTTCTTGTGCTAGGTCAAATCTTCAAGTAACTGCCAAAGTAGAATGGCATGCATCCTGTTCAGCTGTTTTAAAGCCATGTTCTTCACTTTATTTCAAGTACGAGCCAAAAACATTATTAGGAGCTGTCACACTTTGGGCATTACATCTGGCTGAATATTTGCTTTGCGAGTCTGACCAGAATGGCATTATTAGCAGGTATCAGAACCTACTGCCATGCGACTCCCTGTGCAGCCTCTGCTGGGTTTCAGAGAAGAGACAAATTTTATGGTGAGGGCGGTTAGGTTGCTCAGTATTTCCATCATTTTATGTTGCTGTCTGGTTCAGATGCCTTTGTTAAATGCATATCTCTTGCATTGACATTTTCCATGTACAGTGTCTGCCTTGGACTATGTTTTGTTTTCTGTTCTTTTTAATTTTAGTGAAATGGCTTAGGCATCTTTGAGGTGAATAAAAAAACCCCACCAAAACCCACAAAACAACTAGAGAAAAGTTGGGTTTTGTGGGGGGAGAGAGGATTGAGGGGTTTTTTTTTTTTAATAGCTCTACAACCAATACAGTCAGAATTTCAGATTTTGTAGTGCTGCAGCTTTTTGCTAGGGCTGTATTTCCTACAGTTTCATCCAAATTTGGCAATGTTGTGATAAGCCTTTGGACATCACAGTCTGCCTTTGCCCACTGGAGACTTTGTAGAGCTCCCTGTTTAAAGCATGCAAAGATCCCCCCCTGCGCAACAGCTTTCAGTGGTCCTCAGCCTCCACAGGTGCCTTTGCCCCGAGGTGTGGCCGATCCTGTCGCAGTCCCAGAGTTACAGGGTTAAAGATGAGCCTTTCCTGGAACAAATCCCTGAATCCCTTCCTCTGATCCGGCAGACAGCTGGGAATGAGAGTGAGGAGCAGTTCCTCCTCCCCTGTGTTTTCAGTGACCCTTCTGCTTGCCGGCAGGAATTTTGGAGGAAGAAGGCGTTTAGCAACAAAGGAAATGAAAACTCGGCCAGTTGGCTGTGAGAGCAGAGGGAATGCTGAGAGATATTGGGAGAGATGGGGAATTAGGACTGACTAAACAATTTGTAGCTACAGACTGGTTTAGAGGATATGAGACCTGACAGAAGCTGTAAAATTAGATTTTAACTCAACTACAGATCTGTGCTTTGGTGTGAAGATGGGGGAGGCTTGCGTATTTGAAAGCATGTTGGAGGAAAATAGAGCAATGTGGAATCTGCCCTATAGGACTGAAACTATTGCAAGTGTATTAATAGTCTCTATCCTGGGAACATCTTCCTTAGACAAAACTATGAATAAAGTATGTATTTTCTATTAGTTGAATATTCTTTCTATTCATACAAACATCTAATCTCTATTTGTATCATGCTATTTTTCATAAAATGGAAGATTTAACTTTGTGGCTTTCAAAACTAGAGCTTTATGAAAGGAGGAAAAAGAAAACTAACAGACAATAAATAGCTCATAATTTTGTAAGATGCTTGAGTCAGTTTGGGTTGACAGCAATACTGATTTAAACTCAAATATTTCTGGCAGTAGAAACTTTTCTGATTCTTTCCTTAAACAAATATCAATTCATAACTTGGGCTCCAAAGTGACGTCCAGGAACACGAATATGTGGGTAACAGGACAAAAATCTGGTTGAAATTAAATAATTTCCTTTTCCTGAAATGCCACCTTGGACCTGGCAAACGGTATAATGGGCAGTTGTGTAGGAGGCGTTTTTCTGGTCTAATATTTGGGTGGAATCTATGTTTTTAACACTAATGTAACCTTCAGATAAAACCACATGTTATCTTTTTCACGAACTTTTAGTGAATTGGATTAGTTGTTTTACCATGGTTTTATGTAATCTTTTCAGGATTTTAGCTAAAAATTAGTGAAGACTCCAGTAAACATCTTGAAAGGAAAACAAAACCAACCAACCAAAAATACCCCAACTTTAATCCACGTGACATTTAAGTCCTTTCTGGTTCTTGAACTAAAAATCATAAAGGCTTACAGATTTTCTTATGCAACATGGGGAAAATTGTATTTTAGTAGAAAGTTGGGGTTCAGGCTTATTTTGTGTTGTCTCCAAAAGCAGGAACTGTCAGAACCAAACCAAACCAAACTGTAGAAACCCAACCTGCATTTTTTTCCTTAATATTGTGACTTGTGCAATAAACCCATGGGACTTTCATTCAAGCTTTTTGATTTTTCATTTTAATATTTTAATTTTAAAGCAAGTAATTTGCTGCAAGTGCAACTTCATTGATTTTGTTTAACTGGCAGAACATGCTGAGTGAGTGGTGTTGACGCTCTCAGCTTAATATAATACTTATCTTGAAACTTTTATGTATTCTCAGTATTTTAAATAGAATTTGAGTATTCTTGTTATATATATATATATTTATATACACACACAGAGAGCATACTCTCTCTTACTACATCTTTTTATAAACTGATATCCTATGTAAAGACCGACGTATGTTTTATCTTTAATTCTGTTAACCAGAGACACCTTCTCTTGGAGATGTTCGTTCTTAGCTTTGGTGTAGGGACCATTACAAGTATCACCTTTTTTTTTTTTTTCTATATACACACAATCTGTGCTAGATTAACAGGAAAATTGAGGTTTTCATATTTTAATAGGAATTTAACACAGTTTTCTCTACTTGCTGTGGATAGCCTGTTAAAATCCTATAACCGTTTGTTATAAATCCAAGACCAAATGGTTCTTCTAGTAAGTTCTGCAGAGTCTCTGCTCTTGTTCTTTATCTATTGTGGTGGGTTGACCCTGGCTGGAGGCCAGGTGCCCACCAAAGCTGCTCTGTCACTCCCTTCCTCACCTGGACAGGGGAGAGAAAATATAACGAAATACTTGTGGGTCGAGATAAGGACAGGGAGAGATCACTCATCACTTACTGTCACGGGGAAAACAGACTCAACTAGGGGAAATTAATTTAATTTACTACCAATCAAATCAGAGTGGGATAATGAGAAATAAAGCCCAAATCTTAAAACATCTCCTCCCACCCCTCCCTTCTTCCCAGGCTTAACTTTACTCCTGGTTTCTCTACCTCCTCCCACCAGCTGCACAGGGGGACGGGGAATGGGGGTTGTGGTCAGTTCATCACACACTGCCTCTGCCGCTCCTTCCTCCTCAGGGGAAGGACTCCTCACACTCTGCCCCTGCTCCAGCGTGGGGTCCCTCCCATGGGAGACAGTCCTCCATGAACTTCTCCACGAGTCTGTGGTTCTTCATGACCTGTTCCAGCGTGGTCTCTTCCATGGAGTGCAGACCTTCAGGAGCAGATTGCTCCAGCGTGGGTCCCCCATGGGGTCACAAGTCCTGCCAGCAAACCTGCTCTGGCGTGGGCTCCTCTCTCCACGGGGCCACAGGTCCTGCCAGGAGCTTGCTCCAGCGTGGGCTTCCCATGGGCCACAGCCTCCTTCGGGTGTCCCCACCTGCTCTGGCGTGGGGTCCTGTGTGGGCTGCAGGTGGATATCTGCTCCGCGTCATCCTCCATGGGCTGCAGGGGGACAGCCTGCCTCACCATGGGCTGCTGCAGGGGAATCTCTGCTCCGGTGCCTGGAGCACCTCCTCCCCCTCCTTCTGCACTGACCTTGATGTCTGCAGAGTTGTTCCTTTCCCATATTCTCACTTCTCTCTCTGGCTGCAGTTGCTCCTGGTGGGTTTTTTTTTCCCCCTTCTGGCAGCAGGTCCATCTTGGAGCCGGCTGGCATTGGCTCTATCGGACATGGGGGAAGCTTCTAGCAGCTTCTCACAGAAGCCACCCCTATAGCCCCTCTGCTGCCAAAACATTGCCATGCAAACCCAATACATCTGTAAATCAAAGCAAATTATCAAGATGATACACTGGACTAGACTTCTGCGTCCTGATCTGTTGTGCATTATAACTGTGAACTGTGGGGAAGAAAGTTGAAAACTCTGACAGTGATTGTCCCGCTTAAGATGAGAGATTTTTATGTCAAGATGGAAACGTTAGTAGTACTTCAACCTGATGTAGTGGGTAGCACTCTTGTCCCTTACTGAGTTTGCATTCGAAATCTTATGGGATGGTCCCATGTGATGTTCCATAGTGCGTGATGATGATGAAAAGATACTCGAAGATGCACATAACGTCATGAAAGCATTTGCGATAAAATTTTAGGAATTAAAAATTTCTTCCCAAGAAAATGAAATGCCTTTGTTAGAAACTTCTAAAACAAGATCAGATGGAAGTCCTGAAAGAGATGTTGCAATGTGTAGTGCTGTATGCAAAATGAGACGGCTAGACTGCTCATATCTTTTGAGTTATTACCATGTAGGTTAGTTTTAGGTTGATTTTATTATTTTTGCATGAAATAGCCCACAGACATTGCCTGTAAGTAAGCTCTCTATTAGGACATTAAAACCAGGAAGTTCATTGATTCTGTAGAACCTCAGTCGATAATGGCATTGCTTTGTCTTTAGTGTTTATTAGGCACTGAGTGCTGTGTTAATTCCAAGTGGACTATCATTTTATTCCTGGAAATAAAGTGGTACGTGAATAAACAAGAGGTTTTAAAACATTTGTGGTCTTTCTAATTATGTGAAAATTCCTTAATTTGTCTTAATTTTTTCAACAGGATTGATCGTAAGATGTCAAGTGCTCATACAAATTATAGACTGGATGAAGCACAGGCTATAATGAGTGAGCTTCGAACATTAAAGAAAGCTATATGCACAGGTGAAAAAGAAAGGCAGGACCTTATGCAGGTAAAAAAAAAACGCTACTGAACAAATACCTTCTAAAAAGTAATAACCTACCTCTCTTTTCTTGTTTGTGATTGCAATGTGGTTACCACGTTTAAATAAGGAAGTGAGGTGACCTAAACTGATTTTTCTGTTTGATAATTGCCAGTAGCAGGCAGCTTGAAAGAGGTAAGTAGTCACTGTATATGCTGTGAACCTAAGACTTCATGTGTGTTTCATGTTGTCTTAGATAATGTACCATCCTTATGTTTAGATCAATGTTGAATATAATTTTTCATTGCTGCTGACTATATCAAAGACTGCTATAGAGTAATTATGTTGCATTTAAAAAATTAAAAAAAAATCTTTTACAGTACTTGTTTTTCATTTTGTTTAATGTCTCCTTTTATTGCCTATAATGAAGTAGGACTGAGAATTCATGTGCTAAAATGTTTACCAGTTTGTCTACCATGTTTTTCCTTTTATAAGAATTTCACAAATCTGGATTTCTATGTCACTATGCCACGGTTTGGCAGGTTTTTTTTTTTGCCCTAAGCTCTCTTCTTAAATACCCATATCAAGAGACACGTTAATTTCAGATGTTCTCACAAAACCCTCAAAGAGTATGATTAAATACAATATATACAAAAACTATCCTAGGAATCAGAGCATGAGGATTGAGGGGAGACACATGCCTGAGTAGTGATCTAAGTTTTGAATGGATTGTGCATCCTGCTCCGAGCTCTCAGTTGCTGTGTCTGCATTACTAGTGTGATGGGAGCTTGATCAGAGAGTCCTGAGCCTCTGCTACCACGGGGACGTCGGTATACACTTGTCCAAATATGCTGCAGATATAGACATGTAACAAGGACAATTTTCTTCACACAGTCTTGTAGCTGCTGTATGGAAAAAAGCATCTCTATCACCTAAATTTTTGGAACTGTACTAAATTAATCTTGCCATTCAAACATTTTCTTTCAGTTTTCTCTGTAGTAGTGTTTCACTGGTATTTTTTTTAATTGTTAAATGATATAGGTAGCTTATAATCTACATATAATGAATTTCCATAGTTATACAATTATTCAGTCTCTAAAGCATTACCCAAAGGTCAGCTGATGGACCACAAATCCTTGTTCAAGTAGACAGAACACTTAAGTCACTATGACAAGTTTCTGCTTTGGCAACTTTTAACATATTTGATATTTTGTGTTGGCCAGGTTTTAAAGTGATTCTCAGTCTTCCACATGCCTGGCTAGCAAGAAATGATTAGAAATTCAGTTCTCATGGATGCAGTGACGCACATTTTAGGAAACTAACTGGTAATTTAAAGACTTGCGTGTGAGATCTTGGAGCAGCTTAACTACTGGCCTTGTTTTGACTCCTCCACTAGATAGTTTTTCCCCTTTTTCTTTACATTTTCAGTCCTTGGTGGCACTAAATCCAGCTGTAAACATTGCAATGCCTTGAAAAATCGTATCTGTTAAAGAAAATGCAAGTGCACTTAAAGTTGGCTTAAGTACGGTGTTGAGGGAGCTAGAAGTCTAGGATCAAGCTTAGCATCGAGGATTGGGCAATGCTGGCAGCACGAGAAAGTACGGGTTGCACAAGACAGAAGTGAAAATGAAAAGTGTTGCCATCCTCCTTCATGGGCCTATGTGACATACAGGAAATACAGTCCAGGAGGTATCATTTTTGTAATTAATGATAATCTGTTGTGATAGCACCCAATAATAGACATATAGTCCAGGAGAAGCTAGAAAATAGTTGTTCTGCATGGGCCTAGCACGTGAAACAGTTCTGCATGTTTTAAGTGTAATAAGGGATTGAATGCCATAGTTTGTAAGATCTACAGTTGTAAAAATTGGATATTTCTGTCAGCTTACAGTGCTCTGCAAAAATAATCCAACTTTCTGCTTGATTTTTTTAAATTTTGATCAAAATATTAAATTATTTTTGTTGTCACCAAACAGTCCTCACTTTCCCTTTTTATAATTAGTTGAAGATTATTGTTGCAGGTTTATTTAGCTGTATCAAAGAAGTGTAAGTCTAATTTAAGTATCTTCCTAATGAGTTCAGAATTTGATTTTTTAAATTTCCTATCAATTTTAAGATTGATTTGTCCTCAAAAATGCTACATTTTAAAGCTATTGTTGGTAAGACAAACTTTCTTATGAAAAACTTAGTTTTGAAAGCTGTTTATAGAGGAGTTCAAAGTATTGTGTAAACAGCTGGGGATTTGTTTCAGAGAAAGGAAATAGACAATTTCATACTATTTCTTAATTTAAATCTGGCTAGTGTGAGCAACAGAACTAAACATAGTAGAAGTGACTCAGTCTTGTGTAGGTGCTTGGAAAATTGTAGCTGTCATAGAAATATGATAATTGGGTTGAGTTGTGTGGGAGAGAAGGCGGACGAGAGGAGAGGGTGGTCAGATTTAAACTGGGCGCTGTGGTTACAAGTTAAGCCAAATATGCAATGTCACTGCTCCAAAAAAAGTGCTTGAACTTTTTATATAAGATTGAGTAATCAAGGTGTGTGATTAAGAGTCCGGAAGCGCTCTTCTTCCTGCCCTCCCCATCCCTTTCATAGTTTTATGTCTGTTCCAGTATGTGCATATGCTTTTAAAACGTTGTCCATTGTCCTCAGGAAGTATTGAAGTTCATTTTTTATGGTTTTTCCTTCTTTCTTTTTTCCTCTCCTTTCTTTTCTTTACCAGTTAAATATGCTAAATAGGTTAGATAGGAACTGCACTGCAACTGCATGTGGTAGGGAGCTCCCAAATCAGATTGCAACAGATCAATGGTGAAATGACAGTGTTTATTTCTCTCTTTTTGGGTAGTTCTGGGCTGGCATGCCTAGATGTGTTGGTTTTGTGTGGCAAGGTTTT